AACTTTACCGCGTGTTTGGTATACTGAATTTACCGCATGTTTGGTATACTGAATTTAAGTATGCTTTTATATTACTACTATAACATAATAAATTGTTACACAAAAATATAAAAATATTATTGTAATATGTTTTTATTACTATAATTTGTAATAATATAACATTATTAGTAATAGATGTTATTAAGTTAATAAGATGTAAATTTATTATGATGCATTTATATTTGTGTTATTATCTATAATTATTGGTAACTTTATTATATACAATTTATATGCATATATTGTATATATTATAATAAGATTCTATATCAATCTGACAGTATATATGAATCATAACATTATTACGCCATTTTTAATATTTAGTGATTTTAGCGTTACGCCAAAGTTAAGGCAGCTCACCGCTAATTTAACTTTTCTTGCTTAAATTGAGCTGAGCAAATTTTTAAAAAGTTAGATAAGTACCATTTCAGCTTGGTTAATAATACCAATTTTTTATCGCTAAACTTATAAAACTTGTGTAAGTTTTATTAAATGCAACCGCGCAAGTTTTGTAAAAACGAATTTCACAGTTTTGAACTTAAGTCAAACTTATGCAAAGGCTCCACCATAAACAGATCATGAGTCTGGATTTATAAATATTGGAATTTATCTTTGATGTTGAAGAGAAAAAAAAAATTATATAAGTACCCCCTAATCTATCTTTTTTGACTGCAATGTCAAAATATAGTTAAAATGTTCTAATTGTTTTTTGTTTTTTTATATAGAATACTGGTTAAAAAATTGACTAATAATGTTTGATTTTTAATTTTAACAAAATTATCTGTTAAACTTATTTGGAAAGAAATTTAGTAAATGTGTCAACATCATTTGAATCTCAACCAGCCTCTAATTAAATAAGTCCTTCTTTATATCATTCAGCTGCTTATGTCAGTCAACAACAACCACAACAGCAAATTTTTAATGTTTGAATTGTTGGGAATTGTTGTTCTTTTACAATAATCTTGTTTATTAATGTCAACAAGGTTACTCGCAGTATCCGTGAATGTTTGGTCATTTTACTGTCCTCTTCTATTGGGCTAGTTTTATACAGTGATGAATTGCCTGTTATTAACCCACCTCAATCCGAAGAAGCAGCTGCATATCATTCTGATATCGAATCACCGTATGAACTCCGTGATGAACGTGTTTTCAGGGAACCGAACGATTCACCTAATTTCCCTAATCAACAAGAACTTGATGATTTAGTACGAGATTTAGGTCTTGCTAAATTAAATGAAAAACTTCTGACATCACGTTTGAAAGAATGGAATTTATTTTATCTAAACTTCATAACCTCGAAATACCGAAAAAGACATGAAACATTTGCATCCTTTTATGTAGTATTAGTATCACTGTGCCACTGTCATTACGTTTATAATCTTTTTGATGACATTGGCATTGTTCACAATCTTAAAGGGTGAAGGTTATTCATTTAAGTCTAAAGGCAGTTTTGCTCCATAACGGAAACCGATTTTCTTTTATTCCAATAGCTCATTCTCTTCATCTAAAGAAAGACTACAAGAACGTACTCATGTTCATGTCATCTAAAGGAAGACTACACAAAGTAATCATGTTTTCTTTGTTTATGGGATAGCAGGGATGTGGAACAGCACTTCACGAGATGTTAGTGGCCAGTGAGAGAACATTTACAGCCTGGTTCGCACAATGTTATTAATCGAATCCAGATACCCGTTGAGAAGATCTTACTACCACTCCTTAACATTAAACTAGGTCTTGTCAAACAATTTGTCAAAGCATTAAACCCAGCTAGTGCAGCGTTCCAACATATTTAGCAAAGGTGTCAGATGCAAAAATTTCAGCAGGTATATTCGTTGGTCCGCTTTATTTATTAATTATATATAATAATAATAATAAAAATATAATTAAAGTTATGTTAGCATGTAAAGAGCTAGAGAACAAAATGTCTGCTGTTGAAAAAGAATTATTGATTGCGTTTAGACATGTTGTTCATAGTTTTTCAGGCAACAATAAGAGTAATAGCTGCAAAGAGCGGTGGAAAACTTAACTGTACGATACGCAGGTATGAAATGCAGAATGTAAACAAAGCTTCATTACCTGTATTCACACTTAGAATTTTTCAGACCAAATTTGGGTGATGTGAGTGAAGAGCACGGAGAACTTTTTCATTAGGATATCCATGAAATGGAGAAAAGATATCAGAGCAGATGGGATGCAGCTATGCTAACTAATTAGTTAAAGATGCTGTGATTTTTTGCCAAGTTTGGAATCTTTGAACAGTGTTTTAAGCTAAAATAAAATTAACACTGTATGCAACTATGGCAACTGTACAAATAAAAATTATGGCAACTGTACAAAATAAGAAATATTAAATAGTTTAAATTGTTGATATTTATAAACATGTGTTTGTAAATATCAAATAATTTAAAATACAACTCAGAATCAAAGTTCTGTAAAGTGCTAGAGCTTCCAGAAACTCCTCTAACTGGTACAGTCCTAGTCCTTCTCTAACTGGTACAATCCTAGTCCTAGTCCTTCTCTATCTGGTATAGTCCTAGTCCTTCTCTAACTGGTACAATCCTAGTCCTAATCCTTCTCTATCTGGTATAGTCCTAGTCTTATTTCTTTTCTAACTGGTACAGTTCTAGTCCTTCTTTATCTGGAACAGTCCTCATATTGTTTTATTCTATTTTTATTGCATCAGAATATAACTTATTTTAAATTTGCTGTTTATTATATTTATTTTAAATTTGCTGTTTATTATATTTATTTTAAATTTGCTGTTTATTATATTTATTTTAAATTTGCTGTTTATTATATTTATTTTAAATTTGCTGTTTATTATATTTATTTTAAATTTGCTGTTTATTATATTTATTTTAAATTTGCTGTTTATTATATTTATTTTAAATTTGCTGTTTATTATATTTATTTTAAATTTGCTGTTTATTATATTTATTTTAAATTTGCTGTTTATTATATTTATTTTAAATTTGCTGTTTATTATATTTATTTATTTTGAGTTTATTTGGGTTTATAACTCTATTTTGGGTTATTGCTATATATTTTTTAAAGATTCCTAGTTTGCAATTATTTGCATTTATCCAGGCAACTGTAATTTTTTAAAAATTGTGATATAATTCGATATCTTTTGCATAATAAATGTTTTTTTTTTTTAATTTACAATTATTTCGCTGTTAAAATATACATACATATCCATAGTAAAATTGTACATCTTGTCACCAGGCACCGTTACTATTTCAAGTATTGTGTGTTCAGTTGAAGGATTTTTTCGAAATTCATTTTGGTAAAATACATTGTTTTTAGTAAAATGATCATAGATTCTATTATAAATTACACGTTCGAAAAGTTTTGAAAATACATTAAGTATTGATATAGGTCTATAGTTAGTAATGTCTGAATGATCATTATTTTTGTATATAAAAATTACTTTTGCTAATTTAAGTACGTCAGGAAAAATCCCAGTAGATATTGAGAGCTTTAAGATATGGGTCAGTGGTTTGCTCAGGCTGTTTTTATTTGAAATAATTAATCACTAGATATTTCTTCAAACCCAGGGGTCTTTTTTTTTTTTTAAAGAAAATGTTAACGCCTTTTTAATTTCGTATAGGTTTCAAACGTTTTTTCTTTCTTTCATCATTGTAAGTATTCATTTATTTTATTTCGTTATTGCAAAAAGTTTATTTATGCATTAAAAAACAAACAACGGATTCAAGGTTCTGATGACAAGATCTTCGTGATCTTCTTTCAGTTACTTTGTTTTTATAGTTTATCATTATAAGTTTTTGAAAGGCACTTGTAATAAGAATTTTTTTTTATTATAATCACTATATAATTGTACAATGACAAACTAATGTAAAGAAAAAAAAAAAAAAAGAGTTCCACAGACAGATAATCATATTTAATTTTCATGCAAAAGTATTATCTTGATATATATATATATATATATATATATATATATATATATATATATATATATATATATATATATATATATATATATATATATATATTTGGTTGGCTATTAAAACAATTTTTTTAAAAATGTCTGCTTTCACCCTCTGTGTTTTGTATAGTAAAATAATACTAGAACTAAAAAATTAATTTTTTTTTATGAGATAGCTCATGACCCTTAAACACCAGATGGATCCCTATAATTATCAAAAAAAAAATGGTTCTTCAAAAGTTTATCATGTTGGGTCTAAAAAGAAGCGAAATTATATAAAATTTATAATATATAAAAATAGTCATATAAAGATCATTTAGGAAAAAAATTTTAATAACATTTTTTTGTAAAAATGCATATTATTAACTTTTAGATTAAAAATGTCATTTTCTAGGCAGTGAAATCTAAAATAATAATTTGGCACAGCCACACATAACACGACACAAAACACAGCACAAGTCTCTTAATAATTTAGCACTATTAACAAACTTTCCAAATTGGCCAACATTTGGAAAAATACGGCCACTTCAAATGTTTATTATATATTTATACCTATAAGTAAAAATGGAATCTTAAAAATAATAGATTTCTACTTTCATGTTAACTTCTTTTGCTCACATTTAACCTATTGGGCATGAACAAACTTATATTTAGTATATTTGCTATGGTAATGGTAATAGTTTTGCGTTTGCTTGATTGTTTGCTGTAATAAGCTAGTTCTTTCGGTACATATTTTTCTGATTTTTGAATCATTTATCATAATTACAAAAACAATAAACTTTTATAAAACATTACGCGAACATTTGAACATGTGCCACTTAAACCTCCAAAATAGGTTGTTAATCATTTTTTGATTCTTTGATTTTAAAATTTTTTCGAACTTTTGAATTTAAAAACGAACGGTTAAATAAAATTTAAAAACACATCTTATATAACTATTTAGCATTGACATCACATTCACGAAGACTACGTTGATAATGAAGATCAAATTATTTACATAGATTAGAAAACAGTTATATAAATTAACGAAAAAACATTCTAAGCTTATTTTCAGAAAAGCTGTTAAACAATAAAAAATACACAGTAACTCAATTGATAACTCAATCAACCATTAAGCAATACGTTGAAATTCAATCAGTAGTTAAGCTTCACATTGTCAATATTCAAAATTAAAGGTGACAATTTTTCTAAATATTATAGAATGTTATGTGTAACTACAAAATGCCACTATACCAATTGTTAAAGCTATTGAAGTGGCAACCGCAAAGTATCCTGTCTTATATAAAGTCTTCATCTCAAAGCCACGTCCAGTATCCCATATCTATGACAAATACAATAAACATATTAGAGGGAAAACTATATATATACACAAACACACATATTAGGATGGTATCTATAGTAAAGATATCTACAGTTCTCTCCATTATGTGTTCTATATAATTAAAAAAAAAAACCACTGAATTAAAAATTTTTTTGAATAAAAAATATTTTTAGTGGTACCTTAAGACCCTTGAAAATTTAATGAGTTCTTAATATTAATTTTTTTTTTCAAAAGTACATCTTGTTGGATCTCGAAAGAAGCGAAATTATAAAAAAACTTCAAAAAGAATAATTATTATATAAAAATACATTAGTAAAAAATTATAATCCTAAAGCTTTGTAAAAATGCACATTTTTTATTTAAAGTTAAAAAATGCCTTTTTCTAGGCAGTAAAATCTAAAACAATATTTTTTTTTTATAAAATGATGATTATTTTAAAATTTTTTTGTTAATATTAGGAACCCATTAAATGTTCAATATATATATCTATATCTATATCTATATATATATCTATATATCTATATATCTATATATATATATATATATATATATATATATATATATATATATATATATATATATATATATATATATATATATATATATATATATATATATATATATATATATATATATATATATATATATATATATATAGATAGATATATATATAGATATATATATAGATATATATATATATATATATATATATATATATATATATATATATATATATATATATATATATATATATATATATATATATATATATATATATATAGATATATATATGTATGTATGTAAATAAAATCTCACCAAATGTCGAACTCCATTTACGGTATGATAGCATAAAGGAAATGCTATCAGAAACTTCGCTGGTGCTAATACCCAAATCGGAAGATTCAAAGCTCTTATCATGTCAATATAACTTTCTGCACCCCCCGGAAGTAGTAAAGCGGCAGAGCCAACAGTAAACACAACTAAATTAAAAAAAACAATAAACAAACAAAAAAGGCAATAATTTAAGCCAAGGACAAAGCCAAGACCAAGAGTTTTAAGATCAAGGTCAAGGACAAGAGTTTCAAGGCCAAAGCCTACACAAAAGTTTTCAAAGCTAAAGATTTAAATTTTAGTCTTACGTTAAGGCCAATTGTTAACAAAACTGCAGGTAGCAAAGTGACAATAAAAACACATGATGTAAAATTATACTTTTAGAAAATCTGGCCAACATATTTATTTTCAATAATTATTTTAATTCTTTGTTTCGATTTGCATTCATATGTTGAATGCAAATCGAAACAGTATTTTCAAACGGAGGGAGTATTTGATAAAACAGTTTTATGTCAAACAACGCTGCAGGCAACCACTATTTAAGTTGAGAGCTACTAGGAAATGAAAATATTTAAAGCACTTAGCTAACTTGAGTAGCAATTTATTTTCAATTAAAATTCATTAAAGAAGCAACCATTCAAACCTATGTGTCAATTTATCTATTTGTCAGAAAGGTCCATGACCAATTTGTTTACTGTGTATTAATTTATAACAGGAAGTACAGCCAACTGGTTCATCAAGATTCATCTTTTTGTGCTATAGGATTAAGAGAGAGAGAGAGAGAGAGAAAGAGAGTATTATTTTAAATATCGATATATATGTATGTTTATTTTTTCCTACTTTGGCCAAATATATGACTATTAAAACTGGTAATTTTAAGTAAAACATCAGAATTTAAATAAGAATCTTTGAAGATTTGAATAAAATTAAAAATTTTTATATTTTTTTGGTCACTAAAGTCACCATTTAAACTATTATAAAAAAACTGATTTAAACACAAGTACCATAAACAATAAGCTTTGCAGTTGCTTTATTTCTGTTAACAAACTTTAAACAGTAACAAAGGGCTTTTTTTTAAATAAGACCCACTTTTCTAGCTGAAGTGAAAGTTTTATTTCATTTTATTTTTCTAAAACACCTGATATACAATTATTGCAAAAAACTTATGAGACCTTGACAATGCACACTAAAACAAATGACAAATGAAAAATGACTAAAAGACAAATGACACCATTCATGCACATATGTGTATGTGCATAAATTCGCTTCCAACAAGGTTGCAAGCAACCACTAATTAGTGTTGGAAGTTACTGGAAGAGAAAAGATGAAGATTGTAGAGCAAGATAACGATTGACAGATGACTTAAAAGATTGCAAATTATTTGAGTCAGGAAAGCAAGATGAAGGAAAGAACTGATTTTCGAGGAAAAAAACTAGACGAATAAGAGTTTTTGGAGTACTTAGGAACAGTAACAGAAAAAGGATGAGGGTTAATTAAATGAAGAGTAACACAAGAATGAATTTAGTAGATGGCACAAGAGACGCTAGCTCTTTAGAGCAGTGCCCATTATAGTATTTGTAGAAAAGAGAAAGAGAAGCAACATTACGACGATGTGACAAAGGTTGAAGGTTGGAATAATATTAATAAGGTTGAAGGTTGGAATAATAATACAGCATAATATACTAAAAAACCAAATCTAAGTTTTTTTGAGTTTTAAGTAAAACTCAAAAAAAGATTTATCTTGCCAGATTCAAGTTGAATTGTGTTTCTATGTTGTTCAAGAGATTAATAGAATTTATACCGGTTGTACAGATTTTATATTAATTGTGATTATAGATTTTATATCAATCGTAAATTATAGATTTTTTATCAGTTGTAAATTATAGATTTTTTTTATCAGTTGTATATTATAAAACTTGTATCAGTTGTACGTTATAAAATTTATATCAGTTGTATATTATAAAATTTATATAAATAGTGCGTTATAAAAATTATCAGTTGTATCTATCAGTTGTAAATTCTAGATTTTTAATCAATTGTAGGTATTAGAATTAATTCAGCTTTAGATTATAAAATTTATATTAGCTTTAGAATATAAAACTTATATCAGTTGTAGATTATAGAAAAAGAACTAATGCACTATGGTTTCTGAGACCCGATTATTTGGCATAAATTAATAACTTCAATTTAAACACAAAATAATAATTTTTATTTCTTAAGATAGGTTATATGTTCTAAATGTGTTATAACTAAATTTTATATGATTAAAATATATATGTGTATAAATATATTTAATATGATTAGTATATTTAATATATTTATATATATTCAATCTGTATATTTAATATACATTTATACTTTATATGTAAATAAACATCATTAAATGAATAAATGTTCAAAAAATCTGTTAAAATTCAACTATATTCTAATTCAATGAAATCTAAACAGTTAATCAAAATTAAGTCCTCATCAGAAGTTTCATCTTTGCGGTCGTCATCGCCATCACTACCTTCTTCGCTTTTGCTATGTTGATTTTTCGTGGTATTGGATGGCATTTCTGTTAGTAAACTTATTATTTTAGAAGAAAGAAGAAACTTTATGATGGTTCTGAACTCTTCTGTTTTAATTAATATTAGAAATGAAAGGATCTGAGGTATCTAAAGCTCTATGAAAAATATCTTCTAGATTTTTTTCTCTGCTGGTTTTGCGAGCATAAAATTGTCATATTTATATGTTTTATGTCTTGCTTCAGATCCTTCTTCACCAAAATAACTAATTGGCAGTACTGTATTTTTTCGAACTTGTCTGCCATGAACTAAAACTTTGTGTAGAATTGCAAGTATCAGATACCAAGGATATTTAAATATATAATGTTTTGCCGTCTTAAAACAATATTTTTCAAATTTGTCTAAATTAATTTGATACTGGCAAGAGATGAAAATAATAATAAATTCAAAAAATCGTATCCAAGCATGTAGTGGACTAATGCCATACTGTAAAGTATTAGGTTTAGGCCTAAATAATTCTGTGGTTTTTAAATCCTACACGTTAAGGAAATCATTGGGAGTAACTCCACATATCAGACAAGCTTGGTTTGACTTTGTTCCAGTTAAGTTAAAATTTTGCCATAAATTAACGTCATAAATAATGTAAAGCTGATTTGAATTTTTTAGTTATCAGACAAAAAAATCGTTATTGGCTTTAACTTATATATTTGTCCATCAGTATCCTTTTTTTCTTTTAAAATGTGTTCTGTGGATTCTTTTATGTATTCAATTTTATATGGTCTTTAAAACCGCACAGATTGAGGAGTGCGATTGTTCCATAAGATTTTATTATCTTCTAAACTTAAACGGAGTGGTACAAAAGTTGTCACAAATAAATTTGAATCAGAATGACAGCCAGCAGTATCAAACTTTTGTTTATAGGCTGAATGACCAGAACTGCCGTCAAATCCATAACTAAATATTATCTCGGCAGTAATTTTGTTAATATTAAGGGATTCCATGTGCTGAAAAATCACTTCTTGTAATTGTACAATATGTCTCACTGTATGTTCTAATAAATTCAGTAATGGTACTTGTGCAATGATATTGGAAATTTATATACCATTTGGTCTACATGCCAATTTAAATTTCCAAATCTCTTTGTAATCAGGATATAAATTAAAATTTTTGGTAACAGCTCCTTGTCTAATGTTTTTATACTGTTGTTTACTTAAATTGGAATCCAAAATTAATTCTAATGCTTCCTCTGCTGTATAACGTACTGTTTCTTTTTTTGTTGAAAATGTAGTTTTTTTAATTTTAGTTAGCCGAGATGGACTTTTGTTCAATTCTTTTAGAACCAATGCTAAATCGCATTTCTTTTGCTGATGTGAAGCCATACCTGCTGCTTACAATATAAGAGAGTTTCGTGCAAATTATCTTGACATAAATTTGTCGCTTCCAATCTCTTGGCCCGATTCGATTTTTCAGTATATGATAAACTTGGTCGTCCAAAAGATCTTGATGGAATTGACTGATAAGAAGATGTTAATGGAATTGTATCATCAGAAAATGTAATTTCTCTCTTCAACCAATCTGAATTTTTAGTTTTAAATCACCCCATTGTTCTTTGACTATCTGATCATTTTCTTTCAAAAGAGTTGCACAAACGATATATTTTCTTTTGAATATTATTGCTAATAACTACTGTTATATCATTTTCAACTATTTGAATGACGTGCTCAAAAACATTTGAGTTTTTATCATTTTTATCTTTCTTTTCCAGACATACATTAAATAAATCCTCGTATTTGAAGCGGTACATCACTGCAATAAAATATTTTTGCAAATAGATATATTTTAAATTAGGACAACTAGGGGCAAGTTTTGAAAACTGGAATGTATTTCTGAAAACTAACAAAATTTAATCACGTAAAAATATTTTTGGAGAAATACGGAAAATAAAAGAAGAAATACTTCTATACACTAATTGCTTTTACATAATTAATAAAATAATGCAACATTTTAATTTACTTAAATATCTTTAAAAAGAATATATCTGAACAAAAATAATTCACTTTACAGAAATCAAAAATATATTAATTATTTCAAAAGTTATGTATTATTAAGTGAACAGCTCACTTTACACTAAGCTAAGGTAAAAAATAAAAAACTTACTTCCAGACATTGCCAAGCCAGTAAAGCGATGAGTGCCAGACAAAAGACCAGGTAATTCAAATCTGAAATTTTATTAAAAATTACACAGGTCAACAAAAAAAATATTGTCGAAAAAAAAGTTATTCAAAAGTATGTCAACCTGGGTCTCAAAAGAAGCGTATTTTTATATAGATTTTAGAAAACAAATATTTTTCCTTAAAACTTATTGACAAAATATTTTTGTAAAAAAATGCTAAAAACTCTTAAAAAATTTTAACAAAATGTTTCTTAGCAATACTACAAAAAGTACTTATTTTGATTACAAACATTTTTAAAATCTCTATGAAAATCTCTATGGAAATTTCTATGAAAATCTCTATGAAAATACGCTTCTTTTAAGACCCAGGTTGACATACTTTTAAATAACTTTTTTTTCAACAATATTAGGGATTTTACCCCAAATACTAAAGATTTAAAACCAAATATCTTTAAAACTTGACGTGATGGTGAAAAATGAATTGCATATTTGAAATGAAAATGAAAAATGCTATAAAAAAACTAATTGTTTGCTCGGCAACAGAAAATTTTTTTTTTTTGGTCGACCTGTGTTATAAATGTCATATAAACTAATATATTTTTACATTTTATTTTCATTTAAAATTTACATTAAAACTTAAAAAAAACTGGAAAAAAAAGGGAAAGATCTTAAAATAATTAAAGTAAAGAAAAGAAATTTTTAAGAAATGTAATTAAGAAGTAATAATATTTAATTAAGAAGTAATAATATTTAATTGAGAATAATAAATATTTAATTGAGAAGTAATAATATTTAATCGAGAAGTAATAAATATTTAATTAAGAAGTAATTTTATTTAATTGAGAAGTATTAAATATTTAATTGAGAAGTAAAAAATATTTAATTGAGAAGTAGTAATATTTAATTAAGAATTCTTATTTGTTATTAAGAATTTGTAATGGGATTGAGAATTCTTCATGGAAATGACTTTTAACAAGTTAATAATATTAAACTTTGCTTTTTGTATGCACCAAAAATGAAATTAAAAATTCATTGTGTTAAATACCAGTATACTATGATCCAGTATATATATAACCCTAAAGACTGTCAATAAATTTGAATTAATTATTTTTGCTTTTTGATGGTTATTTTCTACAGTATTTGATCTAAACACAAACTTTTAGCGAATGTATTCTGTCTTTCAAACACCAACTAAAAAAATTGTAGTTCTAATGTAGACTAATGTTTTTTAGGAATTATTAACTTATATTTATTATAAACTTATTAATTATAAACTTTGTTTATAATTTTTTGTTAGATAAATATGATACATGCTATGTAATTCCTAAAAACCTCAAAAATGTTGTGTACTATACTGTAATAGTGTTTATGTGCTATCAGCTACAAAAATGTCTACTTATTTCCTAGTAATGAATATTAAGAAAAAAAAAAGGGTTAAAGGCTGGGAAATATCTGATAGTAAAAAAGTACACTGGTGTTATAGTAGTCACCATTCCTCTTTTAAAATAAGATGGGTTTTAAAGTTAAAAGATTGCTCCATATTTTTTTTATTTTTAGTACTTTCTTGATGTTGAACCTACTTATGTACTTAATGATTATATAATTAATCGAATTAAATTAATTGTTATAGAAGGATTTTTTTGTAGCTTAAATTAAATGTGGAAAGATTCTATGAAAGAAAGTAACCAAGTTTTGATGGTCGCCATGCCGTCATATGATGCTTACAAATATGTGATTTATTTTTTATTTAAAACCTGATTATCCACATTAAAATATTTTTAAAATTAAAAAAAAAATAAAAATTTAATTAACGTATTAAATTCTTTTGTTGCTTTTTAAATAAGAAAAAATCTGAAATATATATTTTTTTTATTTAAAGAAAAATCAATTATTTTGAACTAAATAAGTAAAAAGGTGTTAACTTCATTGGCCTATGGAGGCCTTGAAAGCCCTGGGGAAAATGTTAATTGTATATTATTACTTTATCTTAAAAAGCTTAAATTTTTTTAATGAAGAAAATGTTTTATAAAACAATTTTTTTAACTAAAACTTCAATAAAGTGTTATTTTATAATTAGTTTAGGACATAACAATGCGATGACAAATATTGATAAAGTTTTTAAAGTTTTCAAATTGTGCAGCACAACCATTAGCCATCAGAAAAGTAATTTATACACATCAGGTAGATTTTCTTTCATACATTTAGTTATACTTTCTTTAATCTTGTAAACAAACCATGCGTCATGATCAACATCTTCTCAAAGGTTACAAAAAAAATTTTTCTTTTAAAAATGTTTTCTCTTGAAAATAAATTGACTGACTTTTGCTTCAATGATAACTTTGAACTTCATCCTGGACAACAAATTAATTATTTTCAGCAAAATCTCCTAAAATTAGTCATTATTTTGGTTAACTTTCTTTACAGTTTTTCAAGTATCTGCTTTATCTTTTTGCTATAAATGAATGTGTGGTCAATACTGTCACATAAGAAATTATTAAATTAATCTAGTAGCAATGATTGTAAACAGTAATGTCGTACAGTCAGCACTCTGCTTGAATAATATATCTTCTTCTAGTCATGGTCTATAAACTCAAGCACTAAACAACTTTTTAAGACTGAAGGGCATAGTCTTGAAAATAGACATTAATACTATTTTCAAGTGAACTAACAATTTAAGTCATAAAATTATTATAAATTTTATTGATGCATTAGTTGTAATGTACCACTAAAGTTTCAGAGCACAAAAATTTGACAAACTGACCCAAACATTAGGATAGTTGTTTTTAAATGCAATTCATTGAGATTAAGTAGTAATAAACTTTTGTGAACATATTTTTTTAAATACTAACAAAATCTTTTTTTCTTGGCATCTTCTTGTTAATGTTATTCATATGTTTAATCTTCTTATTAATGCTAATCACTAACTTGACTGTTTCTGGTAAAATAGGGTTTCTAATTCTTTTTCCTGGCATTACTAGAATCCCTTGCTTATTTTTAATGTCTGAAAGTACAAACAAAATACTCAGACACTTCAAAGTAACTTGATAACCTTTTATGTGTCCGTTATTCTGGTGTAAGCATTTACACTTTATGGCAATAAAAGTTAGGGGCCATTGCATAATTACGTCACGCTAAAAATCATCATTTTTGACCTACCCACCCACTCTGTAACGTTTGGTCACAAATCTCTAGACCCACCCATGCACCTCTCTTAGCCTGATGTCACTTTATTATAGTTCACAAAATGGGGGATGATTGTTGAAAAATGTTTATATTTCGCTGTATACAATAATTTTTATTATAGAATCATTTTATTTATCCCCTGGTAGTGGTCACACTGTAAGAAATCACCCAATTTTATTGTTGGGGTATAAAGAGAAACTTTTTTTTACATTAAAATGTCTAGATCAGTGGTTGCCAACCTTTTCTTACCACTTCCCCCAAATTATATATCATAAAATCTTCATGGACCCCTTTGCTTTTAATAATTATTATAAGATAAAAATTTTAATAATGTAATTTTTATTCATCAGGATAATATTTTGTTTGAATAGACTGTCTAGTGAGTCTGTTCAAAAATATGCCAGTCTATCAAAGTATTTAATCTTAGTTAATATATGATACAAAAGCAGGTCAATGGGAAATCTGGCACTGCTTACCAGCAATTAATATCAAAAAAAATTCGGTTTTGTTTTTGATAGAGCATGTCTAATATATGCATTGATATTGAGTCTATTTTTTTTTTAGTTTTAAGATATAGCATAGCTACATCTTTTTTTTTTTTTTGTAAAACCTTTGGTAAGTCTAGAGAAATCTTTACATTGTCTAAAAAAACAAATTTAAATAGGCTTTAAAATTAACTGAAAATTTAATCCTGAAAAATATTTTTCTTTTAATATATTAGTTCTGCAGTAACTATGAAAAATGTTAGAATACCTTTAATAGCAATTTTAAGTACTTTTTAAAAAAAATAAATAAATCTGCTCAAAAATTTTTTTTTTCAAATTTGCGCACTACATTATTTCTTCTTGCTGTGTACAAGAAAGGTCTCAAGATGAACAAAACCTTGTTTTTTAGAAAATAAAGTTTTGTGGCAATGAATGTTTTGTGGCAATGTCACATTTCTTCATATTCAATATATTTATTATTTATACTAACATTAGTTAAAAAAAATAACAAGAAAATTCTTACAAATGTTAAAATGATTATTAACTCAAACTTTTAAAAAACAAAAGTATTTATTCAAAAAAAAATTCTGAGGGGAGAGAGAGAAGTAGCACTTCCCATTGCCTTCTTTGAATGAACATGATTATGTAAGTTTTAAAGGTGTCCTATAACTCAACCTAATTTTGAAAATTCTCAAATCGTAAATTACAATGTTTTTGATTTTCAACCAACAATTTTTTATTTTTATATTTACACCTAATTAAAATATGTATTACTGATTTTCCAACATACTAAATCGTTGAACTAATGTATTTTTGACCTACTGAATTTTCAACTTACTGAATATTCAACTTTATAACTACGCCTTTCTGGTATGTATTTGGTATATTTTGTTAATAATTTTAATATGATCCAAATTTGATCAGCTTTGGCGCAGTGGTTGAAACACTCTCTTCAGAATCAGGAGGTACAAGGTTCAATAAATGCTTGGAAAACTTATTGTTAATTAAAAAAAAAAATTAGTAGTTTTAAAAAAAAAAACAATGCTAAAAACACAGACCAGATAATCAATTGAAAATTATTTTATCTTAAATTGGTTAAAAATGTAAATCTATAAACTATAACTTATAAAGTCGAAAAATAAATCGGTCGATAATGAAAACGTCATAAATTGGTTGAAAATAAAAAAGACTATCATTGGTTGAAAACAATTTAAGCCTCATTAAGTTATCTGAAAATTAGTTCCACTTTTTAGAAGATGTTCATTATGTAGAACAAATTTGTAGGTCTAACTTTTTGTAGGTCTAACTAATCTGACACGGTTTTAAACTAGTTATTATATAACAAAAGTTTTAATTTAAAAAATTTCTTTCAATTTTT